GACCCCCATTCTATCTCAAATTCTTGTACCTTTGGTATATTTTATCTTGTACATCGACGATTTGGTATTCTTGGCTGTGTATTAACGTCATTGTGTATTTCATCTTTTTACATTGACGATGTTCAATATTTTTGTCGTGGTATATCGGGAATGTCCTATATATTTATCATCGTTGTAATGCTTTTTGTCGTTTTGTGATTAGGATGTATAAGGTGTTTTCAAATTGGTCTTAGTCTGATAACGATGTGGTGTATTTTGTCTTTGAGATATAAGGATGTGGTGTATTTTGCCATTGTGATTTAATGATGTGGTGCATTTTGTCTTTGGTAAAATTATGTGGTGTATTTTGTCTTTGTGATATAATGATGTGGTATATTTTGTCATTGTGATATAATGATGTGGTGTATTTTGTCTTTGTGATATAATTATGTGGTATATTTTGTCATTGTGATATAATTATGTGGTCTAGTTTTTCTTTGTGATATAATGATGATGTCTATTTTGTTATTGTGATATAATGGTGTTGCATATTTTGTTATTGTAACATGATGATGTGGTCTATTTTGTCTTTGTGATATAATTATGTGGTGTATTTTGTCATTGTGATATAATGATAAAGTCTAGTTTGTCTTTGTGATATAATGATGTGGTCTATTTTGTCTTTGTGATATAATGATGTGGTGTATTTTGTCTTTGTGATATAATGATGTGGTCTATTTTGTTATGGTTATATAATGATGTGGTGTATTTTGTCATTGTGATATAATGATGTGGTCTAGTTTGTCTTTTTGATATAATGATGTGGTGTATTATGTCAATGTGATATAATGATGTGGTGTATTTTGTCATGGTGATATGATGCGGTGGTCTATTTTGTCTTTGTGATATAATGATGTGGTGTATTTTGTCTTTGTGATATAATGATGTGGTCTATTTTGTTATGGTTATATAATGATGTGGTGTATTTTGTCATTGTGATATAATGATGTGGTCTAGTTTGTCTTTTTGATATAATGATGTGGTGTATTATGTCAATGTGATATAATGATGTGGTATATTTTGTCATGGTGATATGATGCGGTGGTCTATTTTGTCTTTGTGATATAATGATGTGGTGTATTTTGTCATTGTGATATTATGATGTGGTTTAGTTTGTCTTTGTGATATGATGATGTGGTGTATTTTGTCATGGTGATATGATGCGGTGGTCTATTTTGTCTTTGTGATATAATGATGTTGTATATTTTGTCATTGTGATATAATGATAAAGTCTAGTTTGTCTTTGTGATATAATGATGTGGTATATTTTGTCATGGTGATATGATGCGGTGGTATATTTTGTCTTTGTGATATAATGATGTGGTTTATTTTGTCTTTGTGATATAATGATGTCGTGTATTTTGTCTTTGTGATATAATTATGTGGTATATTTTGTCATTGTGATATTATTATGTGGTCTAGTTTTTCTTTGTGATATAATGATGATGTCTATTTTGTTATTGTGATATAATGGTGTTGCATATTTTGTTATTGTAACATGATGATGTGGTCTATTTTGTCTTTGTGATATAATTATGTGGTGTATTTTGTCATTGTGATATAATGATAAAGTCTAGTTTGTCTTTGTGATATAATGATGTGGTCTATTTTGTCTTTGTGATATAATGATGTGGTGTATTTTGTCTTTGTGATATAATGATGTGGTCTATTTTGTTATGGTTATATAATGATGTGGTGTATTTTGTCATAGTGATATAATGATGTGGTCTAGTTTGTCTTTTTGATATAATGATGTGGTGTATTATGTCAATGTGATATAATGATGTGGTGTATTTTGTCATGGTGATATGATGCGGTGGTCTATTTTGTCTTTGTGATATAATGATGTGGTGTATTTTGTCTTTGTGATATAATGATGTGGTGTATTTTGTCATTGTGATATAATGGCACGGCATATTTTGTTTTTGTGATATGATGATGTCGCATATTTTGTCTTGTTGATGTGGCGATGTTGTACATGTATGTATATTTACAACCTTATAACATGTGGCCGTATTTATAAATAGGTAACTATTGGATTGTCGGTATTTTTTTGCCACGGATAAGAAAATCATAGCATGATATATAGCTGTCTACAAGCGATTGTACATGTATCTGGAATTTCTCGAGGAAGAATGCCGCTACAACCCAATCAGTCAACATGTCGCTTACTACGCTCTGTTCTATCCACGAGCTCTTCTTTGAGCATTTTGATGATCGAACAACTGGTAATAAATATCCTGAATAGTATCTAGCTGTCGAATGGCCGATGATCTAACACTTTGTCCTGTACCTGTTAAAAGAAAACTTGGAGCAGACATGGAGATACGTCAGCTATGTTTGACAGAAAACACCCGACAAGGTCTACCACATCACGCTACACACTGGGCAACTATACTTTGGTTTATGCTCAGCAACGCATGGCACCGTCAGTAAAACATTACCACAATAATCTCCAATGGCAACAAGGAAAATGTCTGCATGCGAACTGTGCAATATATTATAGGCATTCTAGTAAAACCAGTGAAATTAAAACACTCATATAAATGGTAATTGAAATGTTATTTTCTTTAGAATAATGGTGATATAAGGTTCGAAACGCAAGCGTGATCTATATAAGTGTGACTCAGCGTATTGTGTGCCTGTAATTCAGTCACTGCTGTTTGTGTCTGTATTTGTATAACTATTTTACTAGACTGTGTAATCCCTAAGATCAGCTCATTGATGTTCCATCAAATGTCTACAGTCAGCTGGAGAATCTTTCCCGTCAACCAAGATATAGTCAAACAGAAACTCAATCATTATCTGTTTATTTCATTTCGGCTTTTGTTGTGCTTTTCACAAATATGCTCCTTAATTAATAATAACGATATATTTATATCACCGTTTGACTTTCCTGAAAGAAATTTATCATAATAAGAGAACGAAGGCGTTCCTTTAGTTTGGCAAGACACATGGTACCGCAAAGAGTCGAAAACTCAAAAGTTTTGATAGAAGAAATGTTTTTGGCACATTTACTGGTACTGAGAAGGGCACTGAGAATGGTAGTGAGAAATGGCACTGAGAATGGCACTGAGAATGGTAGTGAGAAATGGCATTGAGAATGGCACTGAGCATGGTAGTGAGAAATGGCATTGAGAATGGCACTGAGAATGGCACTGAGAATGGTAGTGAGAAATGGCACTGAGAATGGCACTGAGAATGGTAGTGAGAAATGGCACTGAGAATGGCACTGAGCATGGTAGTGAGAAATGGTACTGAGAAAGGCACTGAAAATGGTAGTGAGAAATGGCACTGAGAATGGCACTGAGAATGGTAGTGAGAAATGGCACTGAGAATGGCACTGAGAATGGTAGTGAGAAATGGCACTGAGAAGTTTGGATAATGACTTGGTTGGGCTTGAAGAAAAGTCAGTGATGAATCGTTGTTTGCAAAGAATCCTAAGTTTCGTAATCTTATACAAACGAGGCAGGTCCGTATCCTGATCATTCGTGGGTATAAGAAAAGATTGTAATACAGAAGCGTGATTAGCTAGTATTTCGTCTCTCGAAAAATTGAAAAAATGTCTACACTTAGGTAGGGGTTATTTGGTTAGCGAGTTTGGTATAAACAGCCCTGTTACAGTCTTATTTGTGGAAACAAAATCGTGTTTTTCTTTAGTTACCGCCAGACTACAAAGTCTGACACCGCTCGGAAGTTTCCGTCAAAATTATGAATATATGTCTCCCCTTTGCCAGATTCACTTTACATAACTACAGGATTTACATTCTTAAATCTTGTAAGTGTCGAAAGGATATACATTATAACCCGTTTAGCACGTATTGATTATACGGTTAGGCCTGCCACGTCATCGGTAACGGAAGGAATGGGCCGACTAATGACTTCGGTAACGGCATCATTGATCATGTGACATACAAACTAAAAGCTCCATTAAAGTGTAATAGCGTCAGGAATCTAATAACGGAAATACAATGTATATGTTAATTATATCTCCTAATATTTATACTACAGTGGAATATCTATTAATCATATTTCTATATATTTATACTACAACGGAAATATCTATTAATTATATGTCTATATATTATATCTTTGTGCCCTTGTGTATTCTGGTGTCTGTATCGTTTACTGCTTTTGTCGTGTCGAGTAAGTGGGTTTCGGTGATAGCAATGTTTGATTGCAGTTTCTCATTGTTTTCTTTGTGGGAACTACCTGCTGAGATGAAATGTGCTGAGATGATCGTCTCTAACTAATTCGTAGTCGTCTCTCACTAGTTGGTAGTCGTCTCTCACTAGTTGGTAGTCGTCCCTCATTGTTTGGTAGTCGTCTCTCACTGGTTGGTGGTCGTCTCTCACTAGTTGGTAGTCTTCTCTCACTTATTGGTGGTCGCCTCTCACTAGTTGGTAGCTATATATATAGTCGTCTCTAACTGGTTGACGGTCGTCTCTCACTGGTTGATGGTTTATTTACAGTAAAATATTAATATTCCAGTCGATTAATTGGAAAAAATAGATGACTTTAATTACAGTGTTTTCCAATTTTGTTAAATGTAATAAGCAGAGAATGTAATGGTGATCCCGTCTAATTATATATATATTTCACTTGTATGGCAGAATATACCATCACTCGTGAAAAATATCGATATTCTGCTGAAAGATATAGATGATAAGATATTAGAGGTATTGTAGCATTAACCGTGCTAACTTGTTTCTAGCGTACTAGAGGTCAGGTGACCATACTAGAGAGCTTACAAGCTGTAAGAAGTGGTTACCGTCATAGTTGATAAGATACTAGAGGTAGTGGTAACTGTGTTACATAGCTTATACAATACTAGATGTAACGGTCATCGTGATGAATGTTTTATTTAATACTAGAAGTAGCGGTAACTGATAAATAGTTATAAAATACTAGATGCGCAAATGTAGTGGTCGTCGTGAGGACTATGTGATACAATACTAGAGATGGTGGTGTCTCTGACCGATAGGTTACAGGAGGAGGTGTCTCTGACCGATAGGTTACAAGAGGAGATGTCTCTGACCGATAGGTGACAAGAGGAGGTGTCTCTGACCGATAGGTAACAAGAGGAGGTGTCTCTGACCGATAGGTTACAGGAGGTGGTGTCTCTGACCGATAGAAGACAAATGGAGGTGTCTCTGACCGATAGGTTACAAGAGAAGGTGTCTCTGACCGATAGGTGACAAGAGGAGGTGTGACTGACCGATAGGTTACAAGAGCAGGTGTCTCTGACCGATAGGTTACAAGAGGATGTGTCTCTGACCGATAGGTTACAAGAGGAGGTGTCTCTGACCGATAGGTTACAAGAGGAGGTGTCTCTGACCGATAGGTTACAAGAGGAGGTGTCTCTGACCGATAGGTTACAAGAGGAGGTGTCTCTGACCGATAGGTTACAAGAGGAGGTGTCTCTGACCGATAGGTTACAAGAGGAGGTGTCTCTGACCGATAGGTTACAAGAGGAGGTGTCTCTGACCGATAGGTTACAAGAGGAGGTGTCTCTGACCGATAGGTTACAAGAGGAGGTGTCTCTGACCGATAGGTTACAAGAGGAGGTGTCTCTGACCGATAGGTTACAAGAGGAGGTGTCTCTGACCGATAGGTTACAAGAGGAGGTGTCTCTGACCGATAGGTTACAAGAGGAGGTGTCTCTGACCGATAGGTTACAAGAGGAGGTGTCTCTGACCGATAGGTTACAAGAGGAGGTGTCTCTGACCGATAGGTTACAAGAGGAGGTGTCTCTGACCGATAGGTTACAAGAGGAGGTGTCTCTGACCGATAGGTGACAAGAGGAGGTGTCTCTGACCGATAGGTTACAAGAGGAGGTGTCTCTGACCGATAGGTTACAAGAGGAGGTGTCTCTGACCGATAGGTTACAAGAGGAGGTGTCTCTGACCGATAGGTTACAAGAGGAGGTGTCTCTGACCGATAGGTTACAAGAGGAGGTGTCTCTGACCGATAGGTTACAAGAGGAGGTGTCTCTGACCGATAGGTTACAAGAGGAGGTGTCTCTGACCGATAGGTTACAAGAGGAGGTGTCTCTGACCGATAGGTTACAAGAGGAGGTGTCTCTGACCGATAGGTTACAAGAGGAGGTGTCTCTGACCGATAGGTTACAAGAGGAGGTGTCTCTGACCGATAGGTTACAAGAGGAGGTGTCTCTGACCGATAGGTTACAAGAGGAGGTGTCTCTGACCGATAGGTTACAAGAGGAGGTGTCTCTGACCGATAGGTTACAAGAGGAGGTGTCTCTGACCGATAGGTTACAAGAGGAGGTGTCTCTGACCGATAGGTTACAAGAGGAGGTGTCTCTGACCGATAGGTTACAAGAGGATGTGTCTCTGACCGATAGGTTACAAGAGGAGGTGTCTCTGACCGATAGGTTACAAGAGGAGGTGTCTCTGACCGATAGGTTACAAGAGGAGGTGTCTCTGACCGATAGGTTACAAGAGGAGGTGTCTCTGACCGATAGGTTACAAGAGGAGGTGTCTCTGACCGATAGGTTACAAGAGGAGGTGTCTCTGACCGATAGGTTACAAGAGGAGGTGTCTCTGACCGATAGGTTACAAGAGGAGGTGTCTCTGACCGATAGGTTACAAGAGGAGGTGTCTCTGACCGATAGGTTACAAGAGGAGGTGTCTCTGACCGATAGGTTACAAGAGGAGGTGTCTCTGACCGATAGGTTACAAGAGGAGGTGTCTCTGACCGATAGGTTACAAGAGGAGGTGTCTCTGACCGATAGGTTACAAGAGGAGGTGTCTCTGACCGATAGGTTACAAGAGGAGGTGTCTCTGACCGATAGGTTACAAGAGGAGGTGTCTCTGACCGATAGGTTACAAGAGGAGGTGTCTCTGACCGATAGGTTACAAGAGGAGGTGTCTCTGACCGATAGGTTACAAGAGGAGGTGTCTCTGACCGATAGGTTACAAGAGGAGGTGTCTCTGACCGATAGGTTACAAGAGGAGGTGTCTCTGACCGATAGGTTACAAGAGGAGGTGTCTCTGACCGATAGGTGACAAGAGGAGGTGTCTCTGACCGATAGGTTACAAGAGGAGGTGTCTCTGACCGATAGGTTACAAGAGGAGGTGTCTCTGACCGATAGGTTACAAGAGGAGGTGTCTCTGACCGATAGGTTACAAGAGGAGGTGTCTCTGACCGATAGGTTACAAGAGGAGGTGTCTCTGACCGATAGGTTACAAGAGGAGGTGTCTCTGACCGATAGGTTACAAGAGGAGGTGTCTCTGACCGATAGGTTACAAGAGGAGGTGTCTCTGACCGATAGGTTACAAGAGGAGGTGTCTCTGACCGATAGGTTACAAGAGGAGGTGTCTCTGACCGATAGGTTACAAGAGGAGGTGTCTCTGACCGATAGGTTACAAGAGGAGGTGTCTCTGACCGATAGGTTACAAGAGGAGGTGTCTCTGACCGATAGGTTACAAGAGGAGGTGTCTCTGACCGATAGGTTACAAGAGGAGGTGTCTCTGACCGATAGGTTACAAGAGGAGGTGTCTCTGACCGATAGGTTACAAGAGGAGGTGTCTCTGACCGATAGGTTACAAGAGGAGGTGTCTCTGACCGATAGGTAACAAGAGGAGGTGTCTCTGACCGATAGGTTACAAGAGAAGGTGTCTCTGACCGATAGGTGACAAGAGGAGGTGTGACTGACCGATAGGTTACAAGAGCAGGTGTCTCCGACCGATAGGTTACAGGAGGATGTGTCTCTGACCGATAGGTTACAAGAGAAGGTGTCTCTGACCGATAGGTTACAAGAGGAGGTGTCTCTGACCGATAGGTTACAAGAGGAGGTGTCTCTGACCGATAGGTGACAAGAGGATATCTTACACACTCAATGGTATCTAGTACTCAAAAAGTACTACGGGTTAGGTACCTCTGTTTCAAACAAATTAAATTATTTCTGATCACGTATACCTAATCACATCTTGTCGTTCAATGCAATACATCTATACATATTATTCAAGACCATGCTAATCTTATTATCCCTTCAACACTTTAACAAGTTAGAGCTAATCTAATAAAGTTATGCCCTATGTACCGACCCTTCTACGACGACTAGGACAGTTCCTCCTGTTCAGAGATATAATTTACCACTGCCAGCATGTTGATGATAATGGCGTTTACAGGAGCAATACTATTGTACTTATATTGTACTCTGTATACCAATAAAATCCCTCTAGATCAAATCATAAATGGAGTAACAAGAGAGAAGAAATGAGACGAACTAAGCTTTCTTGATAACCATGGAAACATTACCACTACATTTTCCGATATTCGAAAGACGAAATACTCGTTTATGCTTTCATGTGAGACTTTATTGAAAAGTCCTTCAATTCAATCTCACTTTCAGGTACATCCGTAACGTGTTGTCATTAAATAGCCAGAACATTTTACCAAGCCAATTGTATATACCTTCTTGAAAACAAAGACACAACAGACTCCTCTACATAAACCGCTTACCGCGATATTTAACTTTACTTTTAATACATTTTTTCGCCACACAGTTTCAGTGCGAAAGGGCAATACAAAAGTTGAGCGTCTTTCCTGGCTATAAAAAAAAATAAAGAACAATGCACGTAGGCAATTTCGATATCTCCCAACCAGAACTGAACAAAGTTATTCACTGTTGAATGGTATGCACTCCTGGCTAGTGGCTACGTTTCAATGCTATAATGAAGGTTGAAACTCAATAATCTTAATACGCTTTATATTAAAGCATGGTTTGTGATATCGCCAAAACAGATACATGCAGAGTTGCGCAGCATGTTTTCATGTGGTTGAACATATTCATAAATGGATAAGTTAACATCGAAGATCACCCACGGCCAGTAATAGAAATATCAAACTTTTTACATCATACATGTGATTTCTGATACTAGTATTTTAGTGAATGGCCGTCACACAATATGACCAACACATGCAACGTACTACTCAGCTATACAATGAGATGGACTTACGACACCTGTATGTGATTGTACATATAACATGTCGTAATAGATACAGTATACCAAAATGAATTACACTGCATCATACAGCTGTATCGTCCTTCTAGCACTTACTGTATCGGTGACGCTAGGGGCCAAAACGATGGGAATCCCAAGTAGTCTAAACTACTTTTGAAGCTGAAGGGGAGGTGCGTTAAACCCCTAAATTACGAATTTCAAAAATAATGAGTAGTCTTAAAGGAGATAAATATGGCCATCAAGGTTAAGGCAAACCTCCGGGATCAAGAAAACTGCTAACCGTGTCTTCCACCATGCTAACAAAATAAGTATAAGACACCCATATGTGGCCGCACGAATACAATTTGTTAAACTAGGCTCAATACAGCTGTTTCGTCCTTCTAACATTTATCAGTGAAGCTAGGGGCCAAAATCTGGGTAATTATATTAGCCCTATCTACTGTGGAAATAGAAGTGTACCTACGTGTTACCTCTCCATTGTATGGATTTCAAAGAACTTTGGTGTATTGGTTAATTTTATGTATAATGAATGAAGTGTGTTCAGTGTGGCAAGCGTGACAATGCAATTTTCAAAACGTGAGTTTCCCGTTCTTGATAATAACATCCCTGCTTTATCTTATGTCTGGAAATATTCTACCTTCAAATTCTGCAACAATGGCGTTGTCAAAAAATGTTACCACCACGAAACCATCGTGAGGCATAACGTTTACTTTTCTGTTTTTCTTTTTTTTTAATTATTTGGTAGCAGACATCTCGACAGGCCCAATATGTCGTGCAAGAAGCACTTACGTTAACTTACGCACCAGTCTTAGACAAGTGGTTCTTTTGCTTTTTCGTTTTTGGTTTTTGTCTTCTAAAATATAAGTTTCTTTTGTAGTCTTTACGTATCGACTGCGAATTCTGACTGTGTCTGTGCCTTCGTATATTATGTTGACAACATAGTATATCCTCTTTATTTTACTTTTGCAATGGTCCAACTGTATCGTGTACAATAGTAACAATACTTCTCTGTATTGCCACAGGCAATACACCTGACACTTCTCCAGTTCTAGATTCCCGTTGTCGACCCACCACTGATTGATTCAGCTTGTTGTTGTCTGTTTCTGTAAGGATGTGGACAATTTCATGTTAGCATTTTCTGCGTTTCAAAGCGGGATTATAAGCCGAAGCATGAGGCGCAGCATATATCCTTGGCATCAATTTTAGATTGTTTTGTTTTCAAGTTGTGTTCCTTAATTGGGCTTTTCGAATATAAAAATCACGAAAGGTTACCGAATCATTTTGGTCTTTCATAGAAAATTTATGAAAAAGAATGCACCTCCTGTTTTGGTAGTAGTCTTTATTATGTCATTTTTTTGTTGTACTGAGTGCAATTCTTTTTCATTTATTTGAAACACATTGTGCAGTCGATTGTTCCATTAATGAAATCATAGCTTGATGTAAGTAAAATTAAACAATAAAGAAATAGAACGCCAAATGATGAGAGCATGTGAGGAAATAACATGTACATCATAAGGAGGATTATACACAAATATTATCATATTTTAATATTTATTTCGATACAGTTTGATTTGAGAAAAAGCATATACATGTGATATAATACATACCATGGTTATGAGAAGTATCAACTATATATTCGTACCATATTTTAACCCTTGTCATATACTTGTCATTAAAGCTGACAGTGCAAGTTAAAAAGCTTTCATTCAAGAATAAACCCAATAGAACGTTCTATTTTGTTTGCTGGTTGAGAGATGTTCCCCCAGGGACTTTCCCTTCCGAATATCGTTTCTTTCACGCGCATAGAACCGCACCAACACTCCAGTACTTTATTATGAACTCTAAGTCTTCATAGTGTAAACGCTTTACTAGCAAATAGGTTTTCAGAATAGCAACTATACTGGCCATATTGAATTTCTGATCGACCCTGTAAATAACACATACTTGGTATAGGCGATGTCACATGCAAAATGCGACAGCCAAAGGAATGTAGTCAACAATGAGAAATTTGATATTTGGACTGCTCTCAAGGAAAAAGTTGGATTTAGTTTGTTTTCCAAACAGTGTCTTATTACTTGTGGGATTTGTAAAAGTTAGGCTTCAGGGTAAGTCGTATGCGTTTTTCTTTAAGGGCCAATTTTAGGGGGAGGGGTAGAGATTGTGCATTGGATATTTTAATTGGTTGTATTTTACATATATTTACACTTTTCTGAGATAAATGATATATTTGAAGTCTTCCTTTTCCATAGTCTTCAAAAGATCTGATTAAAAGTGCTCATTCAAAATCGTCGACGTGTTCTATTTATTGTAGTGTCATTTTGCGCACATATTAAACGAATGCTAACCGGTTTGGTTTTTAATACGTGTTTATACCCAGGAAGACCCCTACTCTCATCAAGCAATTACATTCTAAAATGTCGGCACTTCCTTAGGTACAGTGAAACCCGGAAGAAATAGTCAATTATAAACGACTAATGATTCACACATGAGTTCATGTCAGATTTCAGGTTAGCTTTTTGTCATGATTCGAGATGACAATATGAGACCTTTGGCAAGGTAAAACATTTTCACCTATTTTTTTTAACTTAATTTTGTTTTGAAAATTCTATGTGACCTAGCTCTCATTTCATGTTTTTTTTCTGGCGCGGCATAAAATGATAATTAAACCCAAATAGAATATTCTTATAAGAAAATTTATAAAACGGACCATTCATATTGCTGTTTGTGTATGGGAATCTTTACTTATTTATGTTTTGGTTTAGTATACATATAATAATACGCTTTTATAACTTTGCAAAACTAATATTGCTTGAAGCGAGTATGTGGAAATATCTTCGGCGTACTTCCAATGTCCAAACTGACGAGTATGCCAACTCTAAGGCAATGACCTTGCCTAAAATAGACACACTACATGCCTTTTTATGTCCATAGCACTCATTAAAACGCCTATCAGACATGCGACAATGATCTGTTTGTCCTTAATGGTTAACCTAGTGCCATTGACTAGGTTACTAGTGTTACAGACCGCACTTACCTATCGTAACTAGAATGACGGTATGATCACATCATCGTCCTCTGCCACTCTAACCCAGTAAGTTTTTTTTATTAAACCAAACGTGATAAGACGTGTCACGAGGATGTCTTATCCCATCACAACTCATGCATGAATAATTTCTATTTTCAATCGATAGGTATCTTTCTATCAGAGGTAGGACTTTTCGTTGACTGACAATCGTATCCTCTACGCATGACATGTCGTAATTGATCAGTGAGCTGACGCTGATACACATCTCTCCAAGAATCAAAGTATCACACCGCCTCAGTGTGGATGACAGCTCCTCCAACCATCCTCGACTCCCAATAAAGAGACGGTATATTTGTTGATGGAAGGCTTTCGAGGAGTTGTCTTTGTGAATCCATAAATAGTTTATGTAGGATAAAATCACAACAGTCTCTTGCCTTAAAATATCGGTCATGTATGATGAAATAAAAATGTCTTTGGACATTTGTTTGGCCGCATTATCAACAGTCCCCGGCCTTCAGTTCACCGCCGTTATGAATAGTCCCTTGTCGTCTTCAGTTCGGCGCCATTATCAACAGTCCCCGGCCCTCAGTTCACCGCCGTTATGAATAGTCCCTTGTCGTCTTCAGTTCACCGCCATTATCAACAGTCACTGGCCCTCAGTTCGGCGCCATTATCAACAGTCCCTGGCCTTCAGTTCACCGCCGTTATGAATAGTCCCTTGTCGTCTTCTGTTCGGCGCCATTATCAACAGTCCCTGGCCTTCAGTTCGGCGCCATTATCGACAAAACATATGCGGTACATATCCTGAATACATTAGAGTCGT